GCTGCATCATAAGAGACTGACAGCAGCGTGATATGTTCAGAATCACAGAAATCCTGATGGCTTGAGACTTAGGCCATCACATCAGGAGCTGGTCAATGGGAGACGGGTGTTGAATGCTGTAGGCAAAAGTAGGAAGGGATGGTGGTGGAGTAAAGAAAGGGTGGATCAAAATAAACAAAACAAAAAACAAACCACCAACAACAACAACATGTAGCGGGGATGGGCAGCAACATTGAATCTATTGGCCATTTTTATAACTGGGCAAATGTCTTTCATCTGCTGCTTTTTGTGGAATGCTTGTCTGTCAGATACTATTATATATATTTAAAGATTGAGACAGACTAGGAAGAAGGATTGGCCATCCACTTCTGAAATGACAGGCCTTTGAAAACCCTATGTACAATAGAGCACACTTAAGACTATCATTTGGACCAACAGTCTATATGAAGAACAGTTAATTTGGGAAGCTGGGCTCTATGAGGAGCAATGTGGCATCAGGATTGAAGGAAGACTCATTGATAACCCACATTATGCAGATGATACAACTTTTTTTGCCAAAACTGAGGAGGACCTGAGGCATTTGCTGCAGAAGGTTAAGGACTGCTGCCTTCAATATAGATTGAAACACAATGACAAGAAAGCAAAGATTCCCACCACTGGGCTGATTGGCAGCATCATGCTAGATAGTAAAGAGATTGAGATTGTTAATAGCTTCAGTTTACTTGACTGCACAATCAACACTCTTGGTGTCAGCAGCCAAAGTATCAAAAGACAAATTGCATTGGGAAAATCTGTCAGGGACCTCTCCAGAGTATTGAAGAGCAACAATGTCAATCTGAAGACTAAGGTTTACCTGATCCAGGCCATGGTCTTTGCAATTACTTGCTATGCATCAGAAAGCTGGACAATGACTAGGACTGATAGAGGGATAATTGATGCCTTTGAGCTGACTATAACATGAACTGCCAGGAGAACTAACAGATCTGTCCTGGAGATGGTGAAACTAGGCTGCTCTGTGTAGGCAAGGATTCTGAAGTTCCATCTCACATACTTTGAGCATGTTGCAAGAAGGGACCAGTCCTTGGAGAGGGACATCATGCTTGGGAGCGTAGAGGGACAACATAAGAGAGGAAGACCCTGGATAAAATGGATTGACTCAGTGACTGGGGTAATGGAGGTAGGTGCATCAGAGATGATGAGGTTGGCTCAAGATAGAACAGGGTTCCAAGCTGTTATACATAGGGTTGCTATGAGTAGCAGGTGATTTGATGGCACGTAACAACAACAACATCAATAGAGAATAAATGAGTTCATTTATACACCGAATTGTCTAATCCTTCCTCTTGAATTAAGTAAGGATGTTAACCAGCCCTCAGAACTTAGAAATGTCCCTGTCCCCAGGAACCTAGGACTATCCATTATCAGGAAGCTGGTGAGCAGAGGTTGCTTCATCCAAGTTGTGGGAAGATTAGTGGGGAAGTGGCAGGGTAGGATGGGGTTGGGATTAGTTTTATACAAACTCAACTGGCCTCTTTCACCACCATTCAACACTCTCCCTGCACCCTCCTCCCCCATATGCATATTCCCTGCTTGTCAGGACTGTACTTTGCCTAAATTAAGATCTTGGTTGGTTTAAAGTCCAGCTAGGTCTTGTGATCTTGGGAAAATGCAATACCTCTGAAAAATAGTGTCCTTGAATTGATTTTGATTCATGAAAACCCCATGTGTGTCAGAGTAGTACTGTATTTTTTGGGGTTTTCAGTGGTTGTGTTACTAGTTTTCAGGAGTTGTAAATTGCCAAACCTTCCTTCAGAAGTGCCTCCTTTTGGTTAACAGCTGAGGTTGTTAGCCTTTTGAACCACCAGGGGTCTCCTCACTTCCTCTAATGCCTCATATTTCCTCATCTGTAAAGTGGCATACCACTAGTTTCCATTTCAGAGTTTTGTGATCTTTAAATGGGATAAATTATGTTAAGTGGCACATAGTAGGTGGAGTCTTAGCTCATGATGATCCTATGCACAACAGAACAAAACACCCAGTCCTGGCCCACCCTCATGGCCAGTTGCAGTTATAATCATTGTAGTCCATAAGGTTTTCACTGGCTGATTTTCAGAAGTTACAATGTTACTGCGTATTGTCCAAAATGGCTTTCCTAGCCAATGAGCTTGACTTTGTTATGTGGATGGGCAGGACTATGCGAATAGGGTGGGCTAGTCTATCCACAAGGGGATTGGCTAATCTTGCTATTAAATTGAATGGATTCAGCAGCAGAATTGTAGAATTTCACTACCAGCAAAGAAGAAGCAAGAGAATGTAGCATTCTTTGGGGCCAGAGATTCTTGCACCAGCTAGATCTACAGCAGCCGTGACCATAGCAGAGAACCAGACACCTCACATGAGACAGAGCTGACCTTGGGACAGCTACCAAATAGAACCAGAGCCAAGAGCCATTTGACCAAGCTTTTTGGAGGACTGGAAGGGCAAGAGGTTGGGTGGAGAGCCGTAATTGGCAGGACTAAAAACTTTGTAACATTTGCCTTAAAGCTGGCCTGACTGAGTGTATCAGCTAACAACCTGAATATAGCCTTTTGACTTCCCTAATATGGTTCTGTGTGGTCTGTGAGTTAATGTTGTGGATTTTTAACCCAGTAAAGCATGAAGATTTGTGTTGAGATGGAAAGACAGAGATGCAGGAGCATGGGGGACATGTCTGACCTCATGGGAACTGGTTTTATGTTGTTGATGTTATTGACGAGGGCAGTTCCCCTTTATGGAGCTGGTTTAGGTCAGATATGCCTGTCCTTAATCTAGAAGCTCGCTGGGAACCTGTTCAGACTCATAGCAACATGCAAACCTCTATTAACAGACCAGTGGTCGTTAGTTAGAAATCAAACCTGTGTCTCCCACAAGAAAGATGAGAGTCCTACCACTGAACTAACCAGTGCCTCACTGCACATATTGTGTGCTATCAAGTCAGAATCGACTCACAGCTGACACTCCAGTAGGTTTTCAGAGGCACTAAATTGTATGGAAGGAGATTGCCCATCTTTCTGCTGACGAGCAATTGGTGGTTTTGAACCAGGTGGTCGGAAGCCCAACTTCTTACCACTAGACCCCAGAGCTCCCTCTTTGGTACATTGCTGTTGTGTAACATAGAATCAAAACCGAACCATAGCTGACTCTCCAGCGGGTTTTCAGAGGCAGTAAATAGCTCAAGAGTTGATTGCCCATGTTTCTCCCATGGCAGTGCTATATAAATGCTGCTTTTTGGAAAGAGTTAAGACCCAGAATGACTCCAGAACACTTGAACTCAAACCCCAGTTCTGCCATTTATTAACTGTGAACCTGATATAATGTACCTTAGTTTCCCCACCATTTACGTACCTTACCAGCCTTCATTGCTTATACTTCTTTTTTCTTCTTTGTCTCCCTTGCCCCTCACGAGAATGTCAGATCAACAACTTGTCCCTCACCAGCATGTCAGATCAGCAAGAAAAGGGATTTTTGTGTGTTTTTCTATGTACTTGTTTATTTATTAAAGGAATGAAACCTAAATTAATTGTAGCCTCAGGGAGCTTAAAGAATGTGGGGAATTTGACAACTCCAGAGGGAGGAGACTTGAGGGGATATGAGGGAATCCTATTTAAAAGCCCACCATTGAGGCTGTTTGTAAGGATTGGTGCATAACATGGAGATGAGAGAGGTGGGTAGCCATGGCGTGAGACCAGAGGGAGGGAGAGGTGGAGGGTGCATCCCCTTTTCTGCAGCAGTGCCTGCCCCTTGGACTCTGTGTTAATGGTGGGTGGATGAGTAATGCATCCAGGAAGCCTGAATGCTTGTGGTTTCTGCACCACCGCAACCCCTACCCCTTGCATGGACATTTATCCCCTACTGCTCAGACCTGCTGCCATCACCACAGGGCATCACCACAGACTCAGTGCCTAGGGAGCCATGAGAGGTAGGCAGGGGCCTGTGTGACCCCATAGAGCCTGTAGCTTTCCTATTCTTTCCAGGGTCAGATGCCTGGCTGCCAAGTCTGGCTTGTGGGCAACAGGACCTTTGGCTTGAAAAGGGGGAAGGGAAGGGGTTGGAGATGCTCCATCAAACCTGGTTTCCTAAACTCCTCAAGGCCTGACATCCATAACAATTCCCGCAATACCATGACCCACCAATACTACAAATTCCTCTTAATCTGCTTGTACTCCTAAATTGTCTTACTACCCCTCCCCACCCCTAAACTCCTTTGTTCTCAGATCCCCCAAACTCTTCAATCCTCTACTCTCTAAACGCAAAACTACTCTTGCTCCTAAATTTCCTAAACATCGTTGCTCCATTAAGCTCCTAACTCTCCCTATCCCCTATTGTTATGTACCATAGGCTCATAGCTGACCCTTCAGCAGGTTTTCAGAGGCTGTAAATCTCTCCCAAGATTGTTCATCTTTCTCCTCATGGAGCAGCAGCTGGTAGACTTGAACTGTGTGCCTTTGGATTGGCAGTGCAACTTTCAATCATTAAGCCACCAGAGCTCTCTTCCCCAACCCCTAGAATCCCCAAATACCCTGAACTTCCTAAATTCCCATCCTTTGAAATGTCTTCAACCTCCTTAAAACCTAAATTCTCCCAAGTTCTCTCAAGGTTCACAACCCCTAAAATTCCAACACACCCCCAAACTTCTGGTGGCCTTCTCAAATTCTAAAAATTTTACTTCAAAATCCAACCTCCTTAACTCAAACTCTCCTACCCCTTATTTTCTAAACCTCACAATCTAACCAATTCACTAAATCTTCCAAACTCTACAACTTTTTAGACCCCTCTAGTACCCTCAGATCATGAACAAATCATGAATAAAATCCGCCGCCAACTCCTCATGCTCAAATCAGTCCTTAATCCCCTCTCAGGTTACCCTGGTGTAGGCTATGGTGGGAGGCCTTCTCAAGTTGGCAGATCAGCTATGCCAGTGCCATATGACACCCCTTGACCTGATTCTAGCAGAACCTACAATGGCTCCCTTCACACTTCTAACCTCTGGTATCCTGGTATTGTTAGAGATGATCAACCCCAACAAAGCATGTACCTGTGCCACACCCCACCTGCAAATGGCCTTCTGTAATTCTGACATTGTTGAGTCTACACTTTGTGCTTTGGTTTCTACAAGTCCAGTGAGGTTCACAGTGGCACCTACTCCAGCAACATTGACCTCTTCACACTACCTTGATTATACCAGGCACAGTTACCTCAGAACTTTGTACTCGCCCTCCCTCTGCCTGGTACACTCTTCCCTTCAGGTATCCACATGAGCATTTGCTTTAAATATCGAATGGTGGCCTTCCTTGGCAACCTTGATTAAAATTTTAACTCCTGCTCCCTAGTATTCCTGATCTTTCTCACCCAGAATTACCCTGTAATTCTCTACCACATCTAATGTTTGAACATTCCATGTACTTACCTATTTTGCTTATTTCTAGCCTGTCTCCTCCTGGCTAAAATGGGATAATTACAAGGGAAAGGATTTTCAGGTATTGTTTACTGTTGTGTCCCCAACATCCTAAACTGTGTCTGTAATACAGTAAATGTTAAAGGGGGGGGGGATGCTTGTTGAATTAAGGAATCCACAGAGTACAGAACAATTCGTGTCACACAGTTACTAGTTGCAATTGAATTAATTCCAACTCCTAGTGACTCTATGTGTTAGAAATTAGGGCTGGTTCTTAGAATTTTCTTGGTTGTAATGCTAGAGAAAGCAGATTACCAGGCCCTTTGTCCACAGGGCCTTACCAACTTACCAATGGTTACCCATTGGTTGAAACCACCAACCTTTAGGTTAGCAGTTGAATGTAAACTGTGCCACCTCATGGCACACAGTAGTTGCTAAAAAAGTACTTGCTGAATAAATTAGCAAATGAACATATAAAACAGGCATAGAACAGTATCAGGCAATAAGTAGAAACAGTATGTTGTTGTTGTGTGCCATCAAGTCAGAACCGACCCATAGCTGACCCTCTGGTAGGTTTTCAGAGGCAGTAAATCAGACTGGAGGAGACTGCCCATCCTTCTCCCACAGAGCGCCTGGTGGATTCCAACAACATGCCTTTAAGATTGCAGTGCAGCTTCTTACCACGAGGCCACTAGAGCTCTCCTGGAGACAATATACAGTTGGATAAATTAAAGAATGTGAACATTGCTTTGTGTGCTGTGTATGTGTTTATTTCACAATATTATTGTGATAATTTTTCGTTCACATTGCAACTCAATTAATTACTTTCCTTCCTTTTCTACAGTCATCAATGCCAAGTTCCTTGGATCAGCAGAAGTCAACCAGGCCACCTTATACCAACCAGCGTTATGAGATAAAGATGACTGAGGTATCCCTTTTTGCCCTTCCCCAGCTGACTTAACATCCCCCCCCCATCAAAACAGAAAAACTCTGGCCACAGGTTACCAGCAAAGTTGACTATGGTCTCAGGATGATAAATGACTTCAGGATACAATGTAGAGGATGAGAATTCTGCCGGTAAAGTAGAAACTCTTCCTCTTGCTATCATCAGATTTTCAAAGGGTCCAGTGCCCTAGGGAATAACCCAGACAGCCACTTGGTTTTACACCCCTCTCATGGAGAGCATCTGTGGATATTCCCACAAGTCCCAGAACCACAGAGAGGAATTTCTTATTTCTGGTGAGACCCTGCTGCTTCACCCTGTACCATGCCAACCTTCCCCTCAAATGCTGCCTAGCAATATGTGGTAGGTAAGGCTCCCAAGGGAACAATCTCAGTTGAAATGAGGACTGCTCCAGTTTCAGCCTATTAAAAGGAATCTGTGCTCTAAGGATGCCAGTGAGGCATCATTCTACTCCTAGCCCAGCCACTCAGAAGTTACTTGTTAGCTCTTTCCCCTCAACCCTCCATTTTCCAAGACAACTTCAGAAGGGGAACCTGTACATCACCACCAGCAGCTTCATAGCTCCCTGGAACAGTCTGAGCTCTGCTCAGCGACAAAGCTTTACCAAGGTCTATGCTGCTGGCTATAAGGAATACACAGTGAGTGTCTGGTCCCTACCTTCCTCTTGAAGGTGATTCCCTGGGATCTTCCTGCTCCCTCTAATTAGTCTTTGTCACTATGGCTTCTCCCCAGTGCTGTTTCTGATTTCTCTTGATATTGCTCCAAATCTGAGTATTTCCTTGGAAATTCTGGGTTTTTCCTGCTCTGTGCCTGGTAACTTGGAGTTGGCAATTTCCTGGACCTTCTGGCTGTTCTCTGTCTTTCTGATTCTCCTTTGTGACTATTCTCTAATATCTCTGCTGTTCTTAACTCTCTGGAATTGTTTCTTGGTTCCATAGAGTGTTCTCCAAAGATCTGAAGTCCCCCTTATACCCAGTGATTCTTTTCCACTTGTGAGAGTGTGTGTGTGTATATTGTTGTGTACTGTTGAGTTGGAACCGACCCATAGCAGACCCTCTGGTGGGTTTTCAGAGGCAGTTAATTGCACAGGAGGAGACTACCCATCCTTCTCCTGAGATTATATATATATATTCTGCAGTTCTAATTGTTCTTGACACAAAGGACAGCCCCAAATATCCCTGACCCCACTGACTGTTTCTAGGCCTCACTGGCTATTCCTATGCTTAAATTCCCCACCTACTATCTGTTCTCTATTGCTTCCTTGTGTTCCCTGGCTCCAGGAGACCTGCCTGATTGCAGCTGTAACTCTACCACCATTCCTAGAAAATTGGTCCTTTCACTGACTTACTGTCAACTTTGCAGAACCCCATAACTGCTTGTCCTATGAGAGAAGTTGTTCTTGAGTGTACTCAGCCAGAGTAATGTTGTACCTAGCTACTTGATATTAAAAGTTGAGATAGAGGAGGTAGAGGGGAAAGAGAAATCCTCAGAGATGTGGTTTCTCTTCTCTTTTAGGTGTTTCCCTGCTTATTTATCCCCTGCAAGCTGGAGAGTGACACTCATTGCCTGTGGATAGACCAGCTCCTCTTAGACTCAGAAAAGGACTTCCAGAGCTGCCACCTTGCCTGTACAACATGTGAGCCAGGGATGTGTATCTGGAAGTCCCTGAGGCCTCAGAGAGCATGAAACCTGTCCTCAGCAGAAAGCTCAAGCCTGCCTAGTGTTCATCTCCTTTCCCACGTCTGTCTGTCTCCCAAACAATGAAATATAGAGCTTCCACCCAGCAAGCAGTGTTTTGGTATAATATTTATACACAAATCCATCTCACTGATGACCTGGTAGGAGTACTCTGGGACCAATGCTGAGGGAATAAGGGAAACAAAATGTTTAAAATAATGGTTTCTTATTTTACATAAAATTTGGTGTGATGGTAATAATTATCAACATTGACATTAACACTGGTGATTTGCAGCATTAGTAATGGCAATTTTTTTCCCCAGTTCCTGTTTTTTTTTTTTAATTTTTATTTTATATTGAAACACTTGGGGTTCATAATCAGGACCAACCATGTATCCTCAAACCTCTCCCCTCCTACACAATTGTTTCCTCACTAAAAGTGAGGCCTCACCTCTCTAGTCCATCTTCTCCCATAAAATCTGAATGAGGGGCGCTACAAACACTCCCTTCATCAGGCTTTCCTGATGGGAAATGGCATCTCTGGGCCTTTCCCTGGTTCCTGCACCTTGACTCCCCAAAGTCCTTGAGTCTATGCGAAGACTAACCAGGAACTAGAATTTCAGATTGGTATAAACATTTAACGGAATATCCAGATAGGTCCTGTTGGCTTGTATCTTCTTTAAAGAAGTGAAAAAGACTGTGGTGTATGTTCTTTTGTTAAGTAAAGCACCCTCAAACTCCCTTCTATCAATATTTCTTTTTTAAAGTAGATTTTAAAGAGAGTTTACAGAGACTTTGGATTTCCATTCATTCATTGTCGCACTTTTCTCCCTGCCCCCCCCTCACCCCCCAATTAACTTTTCTCTTTGAAAAGTAAAAGAAAAAATTATCTCATTGTTATTCAAACCCTCCTCCTAAGTCCTCTCCACTATACCTTCATTCTGGACTCCTGTCATAACAATAATATCTAATCTTATAGTCTTTTTAAACAGTTCTTTCCCTCATTTGTTTCAACGCAGTATACATTATTTATCCTCTCTTTAATAGTCTCCCCCCAATGCCTATGTCAGTCCTCTTTTATAACAGGGCATTCATTATGTTGTATTTGTGTTTTTGTGACTGAGATATTTCACTCAGCATATTGTACTCCAGGGTCATCCATTTTATGAATTATTTCATTAGTTCCTTGTTTTTCAATGCCACATAGTATTCTATCCATTCATTTGTTGATGGTCACTCAGGTTGTTTCCAACTCTTTGCTATTGTGAACAAAGCCGCAATAAACATAGTTGTGCATGTATCAGTTTGGTTGGCAGTTATAGTTTCTTTAGGGTATATTCCCGGTAGTGGAATTGCTGGGTCAAATGGTATTTCTATTTGCAACTTTTTGGGAAAAGTGCCATACACCCTTCCATAGTGGCTGCACCATTTTATACTCCCACCAACAGTGAATAAGGGTTCCAGTTTCTCCACAACCTCGCCAGCATTTGATGTTTGCTGTTCTGTTAAATTTTGCTATTCTTACTGGGGTGAGATGTTATCTTATAGTTGTTTTGATTTGCATCTCTCTTAGAGCTAGGGATTTTGAACATTTCTTCACATGCTTGTTGGCCATC